TAATCAGAATACTACATTTAAAAAAAATGTTTATGATTTGATCTTGGCACTAGGTATTTAAATAAATTTCTGCAAAATATAATTTGTGAAACTTTAATTTTACAACCGAAAACATACAAAATCTAATATCCCTATCATTTTGAAAGTCTAACCGGAAGTTGCACATTTATTGTTGTTAACTTGACCGCAGAGCCCTGCACATGGTACGTACAGTGGGTACGGAAAGTATTCAGACCCCTTTAAATTTTTCACTCTTTGTTTCATTGCAGCCATTTTCCAAAAATCAAAAAAGTTCATTTTATTTCTCAGTAATGTACACTCAGCACCCCATCTTGACAGAAAAAACAGAAATGTAGAAATTTTTGCAAATTTATTAAAAAAGAAAAACTGAAATATAACATGGTCATAAGTATTCAGACCCTTTGCCGTGACACTCATATTTAACTCAGGTGCTGTCTGTTTCTTCTGATCATCCTTGAGATGGTTCTACACCTTCATTTGAGTCCAGCTGTGTTTGATTATACTGATTGGACTTGATTAGGAAAGCCACACACCTGTCTATATAAGACCTTACAGCTCACAGTGCATGTCAGAGCAAATGAGAATCATGAGGTCAAAGGAACTGCCTGAAGAGCTCAGAGACAAATTGTGGCAAGGCACAGATCTGGCCAAGGTTACAAAAACATTTCTGCTGCACTTAAGGTTCCTAAGAGCACAGTGGCCTCCATAATCCTCAAATGGAAGACGTTTGGGACGACCAGAACCCTTCCTAGAGCTGGCCGTCCGGCCAAACTGAGCTATCGGGGGAGAAGAGCCTTGGTGAGAGAGTAAAGAAGAACCCAAAGGTCACTGTGGCTGAGCTCCAGAGATGCAGTCGGGAGATGGGAGAAAGTTGTAGTAAGTCAACCATCACTGCAGCAATCCACCAGTCGGGGCTTTATGGCAGAGTGGCCCGACGGAAGCCTCTCCTCAGTGCAAGACACATGAAAGCCCGCATGGAGTTTGCTAAAAAACACCTGAAGGACTCCAAGATGGTGATAAATAAGATCCTCTGGTCTGATGAGACCAAGATAGAACTTTTTGGCCTTAATTCTAAGCGGTATGTGTGGAGAAAACCAGGCACTGCTCATCACCTGTCCAATACAGTCTCAACAGTGAAGCACGTGGTGGCAGCATCATGCTGTGGGGGTGTTTCAGCTGCAGGGACAGGACGACTGGTTGCAATCGAGGGAAAGATGAATGCGGCCAAGTACAGGGATATCCTGGACGAAAACCTTTTCCAGAGTGCTCTGGACCTCAGACTGGGCCGAGGTTTACCTTCCAACAAGACAATGACCCTAAGCACACCGCTAAAATAACGAAGGAGTGGCTTCACAACAACTCCGTGGCTGTTCTTGAATGGCCCAGCCAGAGCCCTGACTTAAACCCAATTGAGCATCTCTGGAGAGACCTGAAAATGGCTGTCCACCAACGTTTACCATCCAACCTGACAGAACTGGAGAGGATCTGCAAGGAGGAATGGCAGAGGATCCCCAAATCCAGATGTGAAAAACTTGTTGCATCTTTCCCAAAACGACTCATGGCTGTATTAGATCAAAAGGGTGCTTCTACTAAATACTGAGCAAAGGGTCTGAATACTTATGACCATGTGATATTTCAGTTTTTCTTTTTTAATAAATTTGCAAAAATTTCTACATTTCTGTTTTTTTTCTGTCAAGATGGGGTGCTGAGTGTACATTACTGAGAAATAAAATGAACTTTTTTGATTTTTGGAAAATGGCTGCAATGAAACAAAGAGTGAAAAATTTAAAGGGGTCTGAATACTTTCCGTACCCACTGTAGACCAAGCATGACTCTGATGAGAACTGTGTATATCTGCCATTAGCTTTGAAATTCTGTGTCTCTCGCTCCCTCTCTCTGACCTGGCCTGATTGCATCCAACAGATGTTCTGTCCTACTGCAGCTGGACACAGTGGGCTCCAAACACACACACTATCGCTCCAGACCCCTGTCACATTCTTGACACAGTCTGGGGTCCCTCGTGTCGTAAGGAAGCCACATGGGGCCAAATCCCAGCGTTGTGGTAGGTAGATTATGTAACTTAATTACTCGGATTGTTTCTTTTTTCTTTTTAGTGAAGTTTTTGTTCTTTTGTTCTTTCTTGGCCTCATCCTGCGCCACCTACTCCTGCCAAACAACAGGCAACAACATGCCTGACATAACAGCAAGGCTCCTGGGCGACAACGTGATTGGCTGATGGACAACTTGTGAGCCCAGTGAACAGTCCCTTTGAATATTAATGATGTTACAAGAAACACACATAACTGTGACACAGAAGAGCTCATTTATAACACATAAACACACACCTGTCACCACTCATATGACTATTGTTTGAGGTGGTGGTTGTTTAGCAACTACCTCATTTAGCAAGTGTTGGGGCAAAAACATGACAAAAAGTCAATATTAATGATGTGTTAATGAACATGTGACTGCACCAGGGTGCAAACTATGGGGGAGCCAAGGCCTCAAGACATCAGATCCCCTAAAAGCATGATTTGTGACATTTTGTGGGGTCTCTAAAATAATAACAGCATGCTTTATTGACATTAATTTCTATATTACTCTATCATCATGGATCCATGCATAAAATCAGGAGCGTCCGACTTCATCCAGCCAGAGGGAACGATCACCGACTGACCGTAGCATCAAAGTGAGCTTCCCCGAAAGCTAGGGTATAGTTTGTACACCGCACAATTGTTTATTGGAACATCAGCGACAAACAAAACACCTGTTACAGCTTATTCAAATACGTTTAAACTTAACTTCTATGTCATGTGCGACTTTGTTTAAGCATTTATCAAAAACGGTATCACCATGTGGTAAGATAATGCCACAATCATCTGTATGCTTTTATATTATTTTAAAGTAGTGAGCATTCACGCAGTTTCATCCAGTGCAGCTTTAAAGGTGGTGTGTATGATTTTAATCCCAAAAAACGTCTTTGTCAAATTCAACAAATATCTCTTCGCTAAACTAAGCTTAGTGACATTACTTGCTGTGTCACTGGCTTTACATCATGGTATAGGACTTCTCCAGAATCGCATACCCTACCTTTAACCACTAAACAAAATGACATTATATTATTATATTATAAAGGATTTTTTTGTGTGCATGACACAAATTTGGACCTAGCCCCAGTTTGTGCCTCTTTTGAATCATAGCTGAATTTGAGTCACAGCACTAAGCTTTACTTTCTCTGAAAAATAAATGCCCTGCAATCTTTGAAAACGATTTTTCACCTTGCATCTGTATTTTCTAATCCAGATAGCCGGAAATAACACACATGCCCTTTTATTTTACTGAGCTTCCAGATTAAAAGAATCTGTGGAAATACGTTCAGAACAACTGCAAGAGTTGTTAAATGACCTTCTAGGTTTTGCAAAGATTGAAATGAGAAACAGACAATTAGCAACTTGAATGTAATGGTAATACAAAAAAAGGCAAAAAATGGGGCTAATGTGGGTCATTTAGAAAATAGAAAAACATTCTGAAATTTAAATTTTGTTTACTGCTTGTCATAAGGGCTTTTCACAGGATATCATATAATATGGCATGAGAGACAAATGAGGGAGTTTTGGCTTATAGCCTGATATTTAACCAGACAAATCACACAGGTCTGTGTTCCAAAATCCCACATGCGACGCCTCTGCATCTGAAAATTTGACGGACTCGCCAGACTGCAGCAAGACATTTCATCTAGAGTCGAAATGATGTTGGTTCAGTTTTGAAGCAACATGTAACGAAGAAATATGATCATGAAGGAGCATGCACAACTCTCCTCTGATCTGACATTTCTACACATTCTCATCACCCTTCAACAAACCTTTATCTTAATATGTGATTTATTCTTCCATGCAGACAGTCAACACATTTTGTTCAAAAAGGTGGATTCTTGCACAGACTGTATTTATGCAATTTCGCTTCTGAAAAATTTCTCAAAACAGGCATGAGCTTAAGACAGATTCCCCGGCTTTTCAGTGGCTTTCACAGCAACCAATTAACATGAGCAGGAGCCTAAATGAATATCAAGTTGTTCCCTCCTCCTCTCTTTCTGTCTAGCAGTGAACACTGATCTCCATCTCATCAACATGTTGCGACATCTCCCCTCCACACACACAGCTCAGCTGATGATGGGACAGCTCGGGTCAAGCATTCATCAAAACAGAAGACAGTGTGCCTTTTGATTGATTCTCTGTGTGTGTGTGCCTCTCTCTCTCACTCACACACATGCACACACACTAAAATCCCACCAGGACACTACAGCCATTAGCGGCAACCAGGAGGAACATCAAGAGATCCAACTGGATGTTTTGTTTGTATCGGAGGTTTTTGAGGTATTTATTCAAATTAAATTATGTGGTTTGTTTATATATATACATATATATAACAATGAGTAACTAAATTCAGCTATGTCAGTGTTGAAATAAAAAAACTAAATTGTTCCAAGCAGCAATGTTTCTGGTATCCATGTCATATCACTACAGGAACTTATTATGTGTGTGTAGAGTATGGTTGGTAAGCCTTTCTTGTACACAATGGTACATTAATCACAGATAATATTATTATATAAGACCTTGTGGAAGTAATTTCTAATGATTTTGTCTTACAAAATGACATTTAACATCTGCTATAGCCTAACTTTGAAATGTTCATCTATGTGTATGTCACTACTCAATATAGACAATTTACTGACTTTGTCACACTTAGGATTTGTTCTTAATTTCTAGTACAATGGCCATACATTTCCCTTACAGTGCCTGACAAGCAGTTTGATTCGTTTACTTTGTCATATTTTATTAGTAATCTCCCCTCATTCCCACCATAATACTGGGCTGTGCTTCTTTTGTAAAGCATGACTTTCAGACAGAAGTTAACTATCTGTTCTGTTTCTATTCTTATATATATTTTTTAATCATATTTTTGTTTTTGCTTGTACTCACGCTGGTGGGGTGGATGAGCGGTAAGGGAAGCAGGGACAGCGGGATGAACACCACAACGATCAGCTTCCTCGCTTTCCACAGCTTCCTGAACAGATCCATCCTGGCTGCGGCCTCCAACCTCATGGGTGACCCGGGGCTCTGGGTCGGAACGGCCACAATTCAGCAGAACCGGGTGTGAAAGTCTCAAACCGCCAGCGACCGGGGGGGGGGGCTGGGGGAAGGAGTCAGTCTCCTGGCCGCGCGTAAAGGTCTCTTTTGGCTGTGCGTTTTTACGCACACACCGTGGACTGTGACCGGACCTGTGTGTGTCTCTGCGAGGTGAGTGACCTTGCCCGAATTTTCTTTTTCAAATCTGAGTTTTACTTCCACCGCGTCTGAGTCCCGTGCCATGCACTACACCGCCGAAGTGCCTCTCCTCCTCTGCCTGTTTGATGCGGTGTGGAGCATCAGGTGAGGCTGTCGGCTCATTTATGAGCCTGGATAGGTATGCTAATTAACCACGGCTTTGCTCCACCCTCACTAGCTGTGTATTGACCAATCAGGGGTGAGGAGGTTTGCACAGGGGCGTGGGTGTGTGCGTAGGCTTTTATTTTGAGTTTTTGTAGGAAAATGGTCTCCGAATATAAACAGGCTAAGAAGGAACTATATATAATACCATTAATTTATAAGGGATGCTAAAATAATGGAAAATGGGATTCGGCAGGAGATAAATTATAAGGATACTATAAGACATATAAATAGATTAGTTCAGAATATTTAATGAGTAAAGAGGAAGCATTAAGTATACCACAGCAGATAAAAATGACCGTGTTGGTCATAGAACATGCTATGAAGTGTTTTAGTGTGTTTGTGTGAGCTTTTTTTTTTAAGTAGTTGGCCTATATAATTAATTAGCTGCTTAATCACTACCAAGTATTTTAATTATATAGTTTTAAATCACATAATCCAAACAGGAAACTTTAACACATAGCCAAGCTTCCACAAATAGAGCCCGGGATGGGAACCACTGCACTGCCCTCTAGAGGATTCACCGAGTCAGTAAGAGCAGCATGACCCAGACAGGGGCCTGGGGCCTCATTTTTGAAGGTTGCTATGCACAAAGAAAAGTTACTTAAAAGGGTTGAAATTTGTTTACAATTGTGCGTACTAAGCAAACTTTTTCAGACGCGGGATTCAGCAATGCCTAATGGTGAGGTCACAAAATAAAGCAGACAAAATATGGGCTAAAGCACACATTGCCACATGTCACTAGGCTATGTCGCTGATAGACTACAACATAATAGTTTGATAATTTATGTGGTTTATGGCGAACATCAAAATAAAAAAAAAGTGAAGGGAATCATTATAGGTATGATTATAATCGTGTATGGTTCCTTCATTGATTATTTAATTTTATGTTGTAAAACCAAAACGGAAAAACAAAGCAGCTGCCTGTTGTTTGCAACAGCTGTGGTCTGCTTCCGGCTTCATCCAAGAAGAGGGAATGATCACCGACCCTCCGCAGCGCACCAGGTCGCTCCCACGACCTCCTCTCCCTGTACTCTCCTGTACCTCGTATGGGCTGTGTTGCCAGTGGAACCGGCGCACTGGAGGTCAGTGGTCTTTCCTTCTGGCTGGACGAAGTCCGATGCTCCTAATTTTACGCCTATTCATGTGTTACTGCAGCTGGAGGCTCTCCGCAGCGCCGTGCAACTTTCTGAATTCTTCCACCTCACCAAGAAAATAAAGGTCAGGTCGAAACTGTGTGGCGATGCTGAACAACCTGAACCTTTAATCCATATATGATTCGTTAATATAAAGCTCGTCGATTCAACTAATAACAGTTCATGTTTGCTGTGTAGGGCCTACTACCATTGGATGTCCTGACAACTATCACTGAATTCATTTGTAGAAATCTTAAAAACCGGAGGATTCTTAGGCAACTTCTGAGGCTTCCTGTTCCTGTCCCAATTGCTAGTGAGTTACAAATTGAATGTTGAGCCTTTTGTTTTTCTAACTAACTAATGTGTAGGATGTCTGCAGTGAACACGGCTGTGCTGATATCAGTCAGCGCGCAAGCATAACAAAACCGACAAAAAAAATGTGTTCACTATGTTCAGATGATATCCCAGGGTGGTGGATAGCACTGATTGATACGATCATAGTTTGTACATCAAGTGTGTAGTAATCTGTATGATTGCTGAAAACATAAATACGGCGGTGAGACTCGTGCGTTATGCTGCATGATGGATGCGCTGGCATTTCCTGACCTTTTGCTGGAAATGTTTTTTTCCTCTTTAGTAGCAGAGCAGTTGCCTGCTTGGAAATCCAGCCTTGGTTATCACTGTGTTAATACATTACATTTACTCATTTAGCTGAGGCTTTTATCCAAAGCGACTTACAATTGCTATATACAGTTTGTCAGAGGTGGCACACCTCTGGGGTTAAGTGACTTGCTCATGGACACGTTGGTGGATGTGTTGTTATCTAATGGGCATCCTCACCCATAATCCTCTCACATTTTAATATGTGGTTTGATTCTGTTCAAACTGTACCAGTCAAAAGTGTGGATGCACTCTGTCATTCAAGTGAATGGGAAGTTATTTTCATACTTTTGACTGGCAGGCTTACTGTATGTGGTGCTGTTTTCCTTATAATCACTGACTGCAGCTCACAGTTGATCTTTTTACTCACATAATGTTACCAGTATTGGAAGCGGCTAGAACTGGCTGATAAAACACTGCACTGTGAATCTTCAGCTTATTTTCTGTTTGCATTACTGTCACCGTGGCTAAAAAGTTATGTGACATTTTCCTGCCAGGAGCAGGCCCTGGTCAGAAGTTACAAAACACTTTTAACACATTGAGTGTTAAAAGAAAGCGGTGCACTTAAAACCATGCCCTGCACATGGCCATGTGCAGGGCCCTCATCTGACAAAAGCTCCAACATAGCCTACTCTATGCAGCATTTAAACTTGCCAAACAGGCTTTTCCTCCGTTGTGTAATGAGGATTAGTTCTTATCTTCTAGCCAAGCAAACAAAAACCGTGGCTGCAGGGTAAAAGCAAGGAGATGTTTCAATCTACCATGATACTGAGATTTAGTACAATTATGACAAGTGAATGAAGGAAATGTACTATTTTATGCTGAAATATTACCACTATCACACATACCACACACACATGAACGCTTCTGACTGGTCTGGTTATAACTTACAGAGTTTAGCTCCACAAATTAGGTTCACTTTGGTGTGTATGTGCGTGTGTGTTTGTCTCTTCTTCATTGGACCTTTGAACTTACATAACCCAATCATTCTTAGCTAATTCTCACTAAACCTCTTTAGTCTTAAACTGTGTAAAACTTTGTCAATCGCTTCACACACGCAGAAGTAAATATTGCTTCAAGAAGTCTCCACACTGTAAGAAATATACTGTGATTCTGGTGGAGAAATAATAAATACATTCTTATTCAGCCTTAAAGGTTATATAATCAGTATTTTATAAATGGAGAAATAAATGACTATGTTCAATGTGAAAGGAATTGAACACAGAAAATTATCACCCAACTGCAGGTCCCTCAGCTCTACAGACAATTTTAGCATCATTGTTTTGGTTTTCTGGCTCACAACTTTACTGTTTTGGTTCATATATATACATATACATACATACATACATATACATATATACACATATATACACATACATGCATATATACACATACCTATACATACACATACATATATACATACATATATACACATACATGCATATATACACATACCTATACATACATATACATATATACATACATATATACACATATATACACATATATATACACATACATACATACATATATATATATATATATATATATATATATATATATATATATATACATATATACACATATATATACATACATACATACATACATATATACATATATATACATATATAGATACACATATATATACACATATATACACACACACATATACACATATATACACACACACATACAGTGAGGAAAATAAGTATTTGAACACCCTGCTATTTTGCAAGTTCTCCCACTTAGAAATCATAGAGGGGTCTGAAATTGTCATCGTAGGTGCATGTCCACTGTGAGAGACATAATCTAAAAAAAAAATCCAGAAATCACAATGTATGATTTTTTTACTATTTATTTGTATGATACAGCTGCAAATAAGTATTTGAACACCTGTCTATCAGCTAGAATTCTGACTCTCAAAGACCTGTTAGTCTGCCTTCAAAATGTCCACCTCCATTTATTATCCTAAATTAGATGCACCTGTTTGAGGTCGTTAGCTGCATAAAGACACCTGTCCACCCCATACAATCAGTAAGAATCCAACTACTAACATGGCCAAGACCAAAGAGCTGTCCAAAGACACTAGAGACAAAATTGTACACCTCCACAAGGCTGGAAAGGGCTACGGGGAAATTGCCAAGCAGCTTGGTGAAAAAAGGTCCACTGTTGGAGCAATCATTAAAAATGGAAGAAGCTAAACATGACTGTCAATCTCCCTCGGACTGGGGCTCCACGCAAGATCTCACCTCATGGGATCTCAATGATCCTAAGAAAGGTGAGAAATCAGCCCAGGACTACACGGGAGGAGCTGGTCAATGACCTGAAAAGAGCTGGGACCACCGTTTCCAAGGTTACTGTTGGTAATACACTAAGACGTCATGGTTTGAAATCACGCATGGCACGGAAGGTTCCCCTGCTTAAACCAGCACATGTCAAGGCCCGTCTTCAGTTTGCCAAAGACCATTTGGATGATCCAGAGGAGTCATGGGAGAAAGTCATGTGGTCAGATGAGACCAAAATAGAACTTTTTGGTCATAATTCCACTAACCGTGTTTGGAGGAAGAAGAATGACGATACATACATACATATATACAGGTGCTGGTCATATAATTAGAATATCATCAAAAAGTTGATTTATTTTAGTAATTCCATTCAAAAAGTGAAACTTGGATATTATATTAATTCATTCCACACAGACTGATATATTTCAAATGTTTATTTCATTTAATTGTGATGATTAAAACTGACAACTAATGAAAATCCCAAATTCAGTATCTCCGAAAATTAGAATATTACTTAAGACCAATACAAAAAAAGGATTTTTAGAAATGTTGGCCAACTGAAAAG